CCTGAGAGTCCGGGCGAGAGAGCCTCCCGTCACACGCAGCTTGTATCTGTGAACAAACTTAGGAGGTTTCTACCCACGATAGGGAAGGGGATGAGCGAAGCAAACGACGCCGCATCTAACAGGAGACGGCAGATGGTCCATGCCAACGGGGTCTACCACTACCTCTGCTGCTGCTATTGTGCGGAGGCTGCTGCTGTCCTTGCTGCTCGGACCAAGTGCCAACATCTCGCTCTCGTTCCCCACGACCGTTCCACCCCGCTGTCTGGAAGCCACCGGCTGCGTACCCACCGCCCGTAGCATACCCTCCACCACCTCGCCAGCTCGGGGTGTTGTTGTTCATGATGGTGGTTGGTATTTGACGAGTTGGTAGTTGACGAGTGACACACGGCTGTTGGGAGAAGTGTGGGTTTGTGTGCGTGCAAGCTCGTGCACGCCGGCAGTCAGTACGGACGCGGGTGTGGGTGCCGCAGTCGTGAAGATCCTTCCTGATGATAATCATGAAAACGGCCAAAGGCCGTTTTCATGATTTCATCGGGAATGGAAGATCCTCCCGATGATCTGGCGAATAGCCCGGGACATATTTCAAACTCGATCATCAGGAATTCCTGCTGATTTTTGTATGAACATCAGGAAGCCTGAGTTTGCACTATGCGTCAACACACAAATCCATTCGGCAATACGCCAACTGCTGTATATGTACACATGTACGGCAGTAGATATACTACTACTGTTGTGCCGTCGGAGGTGAGGCCCCACTGCATTTCAATTAAGCTCACTGACTTTATTGTACCTCTCAGCGGCGTGTCCAAGCGTCCAAGGTCCAAGACGTTGTCCGGTGCTCGTTTGTGTGAGCGAGGAGGTTGCCAAACAGCAGTCGTGGTCCATCTCGGACAATCGGGACGATCATGCATCCGCTTCCTGGTTACCGCTGACCGGTTAGCAACCGCTTTTACATACTCATGCATACACGGAGAATCGGCCAATCTTTTCTTCCCGCCGGGGTCGTTGATCGACCGGCAAGTTGTTTGTCCGTCCATGTCGTCCGTTCCGCGAAATGGCAGGAAGTCATCAAAAGAGATAACGACCAATCATCCAAGCCGGCGGTGTACCCGACGGCAGTCATAACTCTGAACAACCACGCTACAGCAGTGTAGTTTTCATGGGATTTTCGTATGCACGTGCAAGCAGTAGGACCATACATAGACTAGTCGTATTACAGCGGTAAAACTCCCAAGCGCCGCAACCAATTTTCCGTCTGTATTTCACAGCACTTGCCAGCACGGACGAAAAGAGTGCAGCGAAAAGAGTGTGTCGTCGGTTGCCGGCGTGTTCGAATCGCTCTCTGGTGGCGGATACATTGGAAGAAAAGACACAGGAATAGAGCTGTCCACATCATGCTGTTGGTCTGTCTGCAGATGTGCATGGAGTACAAGTAGCAACAGCCACGGACCTCTCGGGGCTCGGGGCAGCCAAGAGTTTGCGGGGATGTGGGACATGATATCGGGATCTTGGAAAAGCTTGAGTTGATCAACCACAGGACTGTTGAGCAGTTTGTCCCCGTCTCTCTTAACGCCTACTCATCATACCATTAATACTTGAGGCTCGGCATTTTTCCCGCCGAGTAGTTGATCTGCTGCTGGTGACTGGTGAGGACAGAACACTGGGACAAGGAGGTTACAAGCTGCGGACGGTGCTACACCGTGCCTATGGTGATTGGACGAAAAAGGTGGGTTTCTCGGAAAGCCTGCTCACAGTCAGCCGCGGTGGTCAACCTGCAGCAGTCGGCACTGGGTCGGTCCACGCTTGTTTCGAATTCAAGATTTACCGAAGTTGTTCATACTGCTGTATGATCAGGAGGCGGAGCGGCGAACAAACTAAGTAACACTCGGCACGCTCAAGCCCGTTCTCGTGTGCTTGTATTGGTGTTTGGTTGTGTGGGGATGTCACGCGGGGTGTAAGATGCTTAACGGACCCTGATTGCACCGGTGCGAGCAAACGGCGCGCGGTCCTTCAAGAATAAACTCTTCTTAAATTACACCCATCCCGTGTTGTTTCAATTATTTCCGGTTCCATCACGCACGACGAGGTGCTGGTGTGGAAACGAGATAATAATAGCTTGACGTGCCGAGGCGACCAGACTTCCATGCCTACTGGCACTTAGGCAGGGAGAGAGGGAGAGGGGGTGGGTCGAGCGGGGACATACATACATGCGTGTGGACTCACACGAGGGTCCGCATCCCCACGCCTGGTAAAGGCACGTTGAAACTCTTCTCGCTGCAGTGCTGCACGACTGAAAAAAAAAAACATGGCGGAGGAACAAAAATTGTCGTTTTACACATACACCGGTCGCCCCGGTGGTCTAGTGGGTAGCCTCGCAGCCTGCTAAGAGCCAGGTCATGGGTTCGAGTCCCGACAGAGAGAGTTTTTTTCTCACTAAATAAATCCTGGTCTAGGATGAAAGCGACGCGCTGCAAAACTCGTTTGTTAGTAAACCATAATCGACTTCGTAAGTCGCGAGGGAAGGGATTGCTGTACCCTTCTCGCGATAAAATACCTCAGGCATGAACCGCAGGAGGGGGTCCAACCCCTCCCTCCTACGTGACCCCGATTGGGTCGTCTAGCTAGTAGAAGTGGAGGATAGGGGCCAGAGGGGCAGACGACAGAGTCCAATGATGGGAGAAAAACAACAAACAAACAACAGAAGAGCAGCGCGACCGGCGTACATCCACCGTAGGCCAAAGGTTTACAGCAGTAGACTATTCCATTAGCTATGTAGGAAACCAAGATTTGCCAAATTCCGTCCACTACTGTAGGCTTCAAACTTGTCGGCGCAACACGCAGCCCCTCACCTAAAAAAATGTGAGGCTCGTATCTACGCGGCGCAACCAACCTCTTGTGCACCCGCCCAAAGCGACCAAGCACAAGAACGCGCCCACTACAGCATCAATCGCCACCAACGTTTGAGGGAAGGTGGACTGAGCACCATAGAGTATTATAGTCTATTGCAGAAGGGTTGAACTTGATTGGTGGCGGGAATCAAGAGGTAGGCACAGATGAAGTTGAAAACAGGCACCATGCTCATTTTCTGCCACGCCGCCGGCAACACCGAGCATTGGCAATGTTAGCTGCTGATCTTGCGATTGTACAGCACTTGGAATTGTGCTGCAAAACGTACTACACGTGGAGTACTTTGGATGGCGTCAGCTATTAATAGATTTAAACTGAAATTGCTGCTGGGGTGCCCCCCTCTCCTGCTGCGGTGTTGCACCGCACACACTTGTGCCTGTTGACTCGGGGCCCTCACCCAGCAGTGCAACTCTCCGGAATCCTGGACAAAAACAATGAGAGGATGGAGTAGCGACAGTATCACGGCAGCTACACTAACAGGGAACTTGATCACTGATAACCTTGTGCTATCTGACGTCGCACGCAGACAGGCACGGCCGGCAATATGTACACATTATAATTGTTGAAGTATTTTTGCTCAAAGCATACGAATACATTGTACGCACTGAGCATTGGGTGTGCCGAAAACGCAAGGAAATACTTGCACACGAACACCGCACACAAGACTGCCCCCCCCGGGTTGGCCACACCTATCAACATCATGCCCGAACTGAAGGAAACAACAAACACCTTATTTACAGTCAGAAACAAACGACACAGGCAGGCCCGGAACGCACATAGCACTTCCGTACCTTTCAGGCAATTTGCGACTAACAAAATACGATGCCAATAAACAACGGACACCCAGCGCGGCCGAAAAATAACCCCCCCCGTCCACCTCCCTGTGCAATTGGGTAGGGAAATACAGGGGAGAAAACGCGCGCGCTGTTCGTCCGTCTGATATCTCGTACCCCGGGGTCGTCGTATTTCGTGGACGGATGCATCCGACGGAAGTGAAGCACCGACGGACCTGTTCAACCACCAACAAAGACGTGCGAAATATGTCATTGAAACATGGAGTTAGAATCAATCAGACCACACGGTCTTTCGGTACGACGTCGAGATCTGACGTGCAATAATGCCGGGCAAGACATCCCCAATCCCAATCCCAAGGAACGATATATGTACCTGCCTGAAGAAGCAGCCAGATCTCAGTTCCAGGCGTCGGTTACGAGATCCGCAACACCATCATCTGTGTCTCCGTCACTCCAGTTGGAGTCGACGCTCTTCTCGCTCACCCCGTCAGGTTCCCCATCGCTGGAGCTAGATTCGCTCGAATCTAACTTGATCAAATCGTCGAGTGCGCCGACCGAACCGTCGCCGTTCTCGTCCGACTCGGGGTCCTTTAACTCTGCGCTCTTAGATTCCGCGGCCTCGCCGGCGGAAACATCCTTGCTCGCAGGCGACTCGGGAGTCCCCGCCTTCACGTCGTCCGCTCCATGCGATTCCTGCTGCCTCATAGAGGCGGCAAAGAGTGCCATGGCATTGGCAACACTGCAGGATGGCCGTGGTCGACTCTCGATGGGTGGTTGGGGTCGGGAGGTACCCTCTACCCGCCAGGTTTGAGAAGCACCCACCGTAGGCCGTGACGCAGAACTCCCCCCTGCACGCACAGGTGCCGGCGCGCCGTAGGGTGCAACGATTTCTACAGCCGCAAGCGAGCGAGCACTTCTTGTTCTTGCAGCTGCACCTGTTGCAAAGGGCCGTGTCCGGATTGCAACCACACGCAAGCGTGGCTGTCTTTCGGTCAGGGGCGATGAAAGCATACTCGGACAGGTCAAGCACGCAGTTCTCCTTTGTGAGCTCGTCGCCGTCGCTCCCCTTTCCTCGTGAGTCGACGCTCCATCCTTTGCCGGCAAACTCTGTCGCCGGCATGGTCTCCCTCAGGCCATTCTTCCAGTACCGGAAGATGGCGTTACCTCGTTCTCTCTGCTTGCGCAAGGAAAAAAAAGATGGACAGGTGGCTGTCGTCTTCTTCTTCGGGAGTTGGAGGATGGAGTAGCGGATCACGTTCACGTAGCCCTCGACGTCGCCGTCAATGCTTTCGATCAGCTGGGCTGGAGTCAAATGAGCAGTGCCAAACGCCGCTTCATCCTTGTAGAAGAATATGGTCGCCAAAAGCTTCGCGTATTCGTCGACATGCCCGTCCACGTGCCATCCTGCTCCTCGAAGAACAGCGGCTTGTCAAACAAACCCTCCGTCCGCACGCTCTTGAGGGCCAGTACCCGCATCTTGTAGAACGGCAGCCCGGAAATTGCCGGGAGGTAGTCACAGCCCGACTCCAGGTCAGGACGAACAGACGAACCTTGTCGTTGTCCGTGGGAATCCAGCCCCTGAAGGTCAATAGCGGCCANTATTCGTCGACATGCCCGTCCACGTGCCATCCTGCTCCTCGAAGAACAGCGGCTTGTCAAACAAACCCTCCGTCCGCACGCTCTTGAGGGCCAGTACCCGCATCTTGTAGAACGGCAGCCCGGAAATTGCCGGGAGGTAGTCACAGCCCGACTCCAGGTCAGGACGAACAGACGAACCTTGTCGTTGTCCGTGGGAATCCAGCCCCTGAAGGTCAATAGCGGCCAAGCGGACTCGCTTGCGTCCTCGAGTTCGCAGATGCTGGCGAATACCGTAATCATCGGTGTCTTAGCACATATCGGGGTCTCGGCATATATCGGGGTCTTGGCACAGGGTGTACGGAAAAAAAGCCGGTTCCAAATGATTTGCTAGGTTATCGCACAGGTATCGTCGTCTCCGCACAGTTTGTGGAGACGCCGACATGTTCGGTGAGGTTTGGCGGTAAGTGATACCCTTTCACCAGCATCTTGTGCTGGAAATTCCTGATAATGTGGGAGCTTGAGTCGCGTGCTCCACTGCTACTGCTGCCCTTGGCACCATGACGATGTTCAAAAATGTGGTATTTGTACTCTTTGTTATCTTCTTTTCCTTCTGACGAACCAAAATCGGCAAATCGGCAAACGGCACCCACTCAACAATTCAAAACGCACGTGAAACCACAAACGAAGAAAAAAATCACACCAAACTACCACAACGAGCTACCAACATCCTACTACTGTACTTCCTAGGCGGGTTGAACTCTACTTCGTGCCCGCACCCCTACCATCGCAAAAACATCCAATCTCACTGGCAATCCCAAAGAACTATGATTCAAAGTTCGACTACTCCTTCGGCGCCCCCGCCCCCCTGCCCCTCCACGACTTCCACGTCGCTGTCGCCCTCCAAGACCTCCACCTCGCTGTCGCTCTCATCAGCGACGTAGGGCAGCAGCTTCCCCTCGACCTGCTTCTGAGCAGCCGTGATGGGGTTGGAGTCGAACCCCCCTGGTACCTTCGGCAGCTTGAGCGGCGGGAGAGTCACGTCGGGGTGCTCAGCGAGCCACACGGCGTGCTGCTCCTCGAGAAGGTCGCGGTAGTCTTCCCCGAAGTTGTCATCGCATCAGGCGTGGTCTTCGCTGCCGTCGAGCGCGAGCGTGAGACCGCAGATCTTGAAGCAAGTCTTCACCGTCTCGGGGGTGATGGACTCCCACTCTTCCTTGCACCACGTAGAGACGACCCCGCGCTCCGGTCGTTTCAGCTTCCCCGACCGGGCGTCTGCGACCGCCGACGCGCTGTAGGCGGTGTACTTGCCCCGCAGCAGCCGCTTCATCTGCTTGTTGAGCATGCGGTCGAGCGGTTGGAGCAAGGGCGTCAACCCGCCTGGGATGAAGATGACGATGGTGTTGGCGTCTCTCTTGAGTGCGGCGATGAAACCCTCGTCCTTGTGGCACTTGAAGTCGTCCAGCACCAGGATGCACGGGCGCTGCTGGACGATGCTGCCGTTGTTGGGACGGAGCTTCCAGCTGCCCGAGATCCACCCGTTGGACTCCCGCTGGTCACTCCAGCTCTTCTCCTGCACGCCGAAGGACATGCCGTCGGCAGGGTGGCCGTGCTTGGCGCGGTTCGCAGGATGGATCTCCCACGCGACGGAGTTCTTCCGCGGCAGGGTGCTCTTGCCCTTGCCGCTCACGGTCGGGGGAATGAACGGGGCCCTGAAGATGATGCGCGGCGAAACCTTTTTGCCGTCCGCCATGACAGCCAGAACGAGTTTGAAGCGTCAGAAACAGGTAGCGACCCTCCTGTGTCTACCGATAGAGCTACATCGCACCGTGTACCGGCACGCAAAAAAGAAGCATGTGTCTTAAGAAATTGTCCAACGACAAAAAAATCCGCACACCACACAAAATTTTGACAAAAATATTAGCTCGCCCTCACCTCCTGTGCTGATGCGAGCATCCTTCGCACCGGTCTTCTTCATAGTGGTTTCCACCGGCATCTCGTGCTGGAGTGGCGTCTGGTCCATGTTGCCGAGTTCCTCGAAAACCTCCGCCTCAACAGACGCCAGCTGCTCGGAAGTCAGATCCTCCCCTTTGATGGGGCTCTCGTCAGGTGCCAGCGGGTGGCGCCGATCGTAGACCTCGCCGGTGCGCTTTACGAGAGCCTCGCGCAGCTTCATCACCGTCGCCCACGCCATACCCTCGTACCCCTTCGGCAGTTTCTGGCCCACGCTGGTACGCCGGCAGATGCTGAACCCATTCCGCTTGCGGAACCGTTGGTACCAAGAGTTGAATTTGACCTTGAAAGCCAGCGCCTCCTCCGGTTTCGCGTTCGCCGGCATCCCGCCAAGGGCGTCAGGCTTCAGCTCGAGCAGCTTGTTCATCGCCTCCCGAATACCACAAGCACGGTGCTGCTTGCGCTGCTCGTTGATGTAGTCCACAAGGGCTTGTTCGGCGTCGACTGTCGAAGCTTTCCCTCCGCTGTGAACCTGCTTGGCCTTCGAAAACTTTGGGTTGGCGCTGACCTTCTCCCTGAGCTGCTCCTCCTGCTTCAGCCACTCNGCCTCCCGAATACCACAAGCACGGTGCTGCTTGCGCTGCTCGTTGATGTAGTCCACAAGGGCTTGTTCGGCGTCGACTGTCGAAGCTTTCCCTCCGCTGTGAACCTGCTTGGCCTTCGAAAGCTTGGGGTTGGCGCTGACCTTCTCCCTGAGCTGCTCCTCCTGCTTCAGCCACTCGATGATACGCTTCCGAGGCACCTGGAGAACTTTCGCCGCGCCGTTGTTTCCCACCGGTTGACCGTCGCACGGGCAGATCTCCCGTGTGTAGGCCGCCGCGTTCAGTTTGAACCGGATGGGGTAGATCTCTTTCCCTCCCACTGCTCCTGACCGCTCGATCGGGAAGTTGGGCTCCGGGTACGCGCGTTTGCCGTTGCTGTTTTTGACGGGGTCGTTGGCGGCTAGCATCTCACCGACAGCCTCGCCGGTTGCCTTCGGGTCCGCAGCGGCAGCTCCCTGATCCGCAGAGGAAGGATCGCCAGCACTAGCCTGTGAGGCCTGTGAGGCGTCGGCAGGTCCCGCGCTTGCACCCTCCGACATCGTAGCCGCGCGTTGCGTGTGGTCGAGCCCGCAGCTNGCGTTTGCCGTTGCTGTTTTTGACGGGGTCGTTGGCGGCTAGCATCTCACCGACAGCCTCGCCGGTTGCCTTCGGGTCCGCAGCGGCAGCTCCCTGATCCGCAGAGGAAAGACCGCCAGCACTAGCCTGTGAGGTCTGCGAGGCCTGTGAGGCGTCGGCAGGTCCGGCGCTTGCACCCTCCGACATCGTAGCCGCGCGTTGCGTGTGGTCGAGCCCGCAGCTCCGTCTCGGGCATTTTCCCGATTGTCCTCCGGCATTTCTCCGCCACGGAACTGTTATGGTGGCAATTCCCCGAGACTCGTTTGTGTGTGCAGCTACTACTATGTGTATATATAATAGCTTGTCTGTTGGTTGTGTTGTGATTGTGTTGCAGCAATATCATACACGCGAAGTGCTGCTATCCCCTGTGGTTTTCAACGTTAGGATCGCGCATATCGGGGCCTTGGCACAGGGGTGTGCGTTCGAAAGTCGCCGTACCAGCCGCTTTGAATTTCAGCAGCACCGCAAATATCGGGATCTTGGCACAGGGGTGTGCGTTGTTTCTTAGAACCGAAATATTTACTGCATTTCCGCACAGGTATCGCGAACTTGGCACATATCGGGGTCTTCGCACACCTGTGCGAAAAAAGTCTGAAGTTCGAAACATTTAAGAAAGCGACCGCACAGTGTGCCAAGACCCCGATGGTTACGGTACTCTGTTCATACACAGGAACTTGGTCTCGCCACCCGCGACCTTTTGGACGGTCACGTCAACCGCCCCCTCGCCACGAGGCCGAAGCCAACCAGTGGTCATCGCCAGTAGAATAATCATCCATAGGTCCGTGTCTACCGATGAAACAATCCACTTGTCGAAGTTTTTCCCCCAGTACTTCTTCGCCCAAACGATGAAGTGTATCACGGAGAGCTCCGCCTCGCCGATGTCTGGCCCTAGCTGCCGCTCGACGCCAGGGGTAGGGTCGTTTCCGTTTCGAAAGTGAAGGAGTGGTTCTGTTCCGGAAAGCGCCTCCGTGGCGCCTACCCCTCCCATCTCAAGGCCACCCTCCGCATCTACACCAGCTGGATGATCAGCACTCAGACCAGGCTCACCTCCGACGCCATAGAATGCGACGATTCCGTTCGGCTTGGTGTCGCCGGTCCAGACTTCATCAGCTAGCACGCGCATGGCGAGGTAGGCGGCGATTCCGTTCCGCGCCGCCTTGCGATCGGCTCGAAGCCATGGTCCATACTGTAACGCAGTAACAGGGTCCGTGGACTTCGGGTCGAAGGTCCGAGAGCACTCACCAAGTTTCTCGGTCCTCCCAAGCTGCTCTTGTCCTTTGATTACCGGCACCAGTTCCTGTCGGTCGTAGCACACCAGGAGTAGCTCGGTTGACTGCAGCCACTTCGACAACAGCTGCCTCTTGAAGTACAGTCGACCCCGCTTTAAAGACACATCACGTTTTCCCCCCAAAAAAGTGTCTTTAACACGGGGAAGCGTCTTAGAATTCCGGGGCCACTAACGCACCATCCCTGGGGCCAATGAAGGCGAAACATATGTGAAAAGGTGCGCATTCGCAGCAGAAAGGCGACCACAAGAGGTGTTGTTTGAAACCCACGACACAAGGTGATTTGAAGGTCGCAACCACTGCTGCTATTGTGCTGCAATACATTCTTGCATACCATCGATTGAATTTCCCCGTACAGTACCACCAAAACGCTGAAAGCGATAGTGTTCTACGACCTACGCATCGTACATGTACACGACGATAGTGCGCTTGTGTTGATATGGGCTTAATTATTTGCTTTATTGTGTTTTTTAGGCGTTGAATATCTTGCCCAAGATCTCGCTACCGCACCTGAGAAATATCGAACGTTGTAAAACGACACCAGGAAAATGTAGGCTACGCAGAAACACAGAGACCAAAAATGTCGGGAAAGCACAGCGACAAAGAGGGTACCACGCCTCCCAAAAGTCAAAACGAGGCACAACACAACACAAACGCCAAATTCAACCTCACGAGACTTCACCCAAGGCAATCCGAGCACTCTCTCTGCTGTCCGTGGCCTTCCTCTCCGATGCCCCGACCACAAAACGCGTGCATGAGTCGCCCGCACGGACACTGATGAACCAGTGACACCAGTGCAGGTTTGAACTGGCACGTCGGTTCGCCCCATGGCTTCAAGCCGGCAGCAGACGAACCGCCAGCAGATGGAATGAATCTTTCCATACACCCACACGCAGTTTGCGGCTGCAGCAGACCGCTGTTGATGATCCAGGATCTACAGGTGCTGCAGCACATTTTCTGGGGGGGGTCGAATGGTGGAAAACCCTACCCCCCCTACTTTTTCACATCTGCGGGGCACCATGTTTCTGATATTTTTGCGTCCTTAAAGCGGGGAGTGTCTATAAAAATGGTGTCTTCAAAGCGGGGATGACTGTAGTCGATTATTCCCGCAGTTCCCTTCTCGAGATATTCCGGGTGCACCCCTTGGTGGGTTGACACGGGAAGATCCACGCCATGAGCGTCGGCGTCGTAAAATGGGTCGTCTGCGAACCCGTCGTCACCATGGTCTCTGACCCATTTCCCTGGACCTGCCGCCTTGTTGGTGTGCTTCGCTCCTGATACGTTTGGGGAGAGTTTTCCAACAGGGGTGTTTGGGGATGGGGGGGTGGGGGTGAACACAATGTGATGTGGTATGCATTATACTAATAACACTCAGAAACACGGGTGTGGAGAGTGGGTGAGCTTCGGCTGGGAGCGGATGCACGAGATGGCAACCTGTGTTGCGCACGCTCTCTTCCTCACCTCCCGTCGCGTTGGCCATGCTGTACGGCGTGGCCGCTCGTATGGACGCCACCATTTCCAGCATCTGGTCTTGTGTCACCACACCCCCACCTTCTCTGGCCGCATCGAACATGTTCAGCGTGAGGGCCTTCCACTCTTGCCCCCCAGCGTAGGCATTACGGACGGAATCCTTGAGTGCAGACGACCTCCCTTGGCGCTTCGTGGCCTTGTTGATGCTGTTCCTAGCCGGGATGGAGAAAATCTTCTTCTTGGTCGCGCCGTTGAGTTTCGCGCCGTTGAGTTTTTTCTTCTTGAAGACGTAGTACAGGACACACTCGCGCATTTTCGCACGAGCCTTAGCGGGCGAGTCGAGAAACTCTTGCCACTTGACCGGCGGAAACACTCTCCCGTCCAACGCCGCGACCTTGTCTTTGCCATCGTCGCCTTCAAGTGCCGGGCTCTCTCTCAAGCAGTCCATCGCCGCCATGACTGCTGGTGCACGTTTTACCACGAACTCTCTACAACGGTCCCTTTCCGTGCGTGTTTTCTCGATGAAATGCGATTCGAAGTCGAAGATGGCGACTTCACGCAGCTGGGCAATCGGTGTCAGCTTTTCTATCGTGCTCGAAAGGATCCTTTTCGCCAATGTCTTGTAGAGACGATTGGAAACCTCCTTTCGCTCGTCCAAGCCGATTCGTGCAAACGTGTCAGGGCCATGTGAGACGGAGAATAGCTCGGATACGACCCTCATATCATTACGCGAATAACCCGACACCTCCGTCAGATGATCTGCCACGAGGAACTGGTACTTGTCTTTGCCGGTGACGAACAAAATGGGGGCGATACGCCGAAGGCCTTCAAGCCTTAGCCTGAAGTTCCCCGTACGCAGGGCAGTTCGGAAGGCGATGTACTCATGGTAGTCGTGGAGGAGGAACTGCTTCCACACAGCGAAAGTCTTGTGAGACTCCGCCCGTGCCACTATCCACCGAACCACCCCGTCGACCACGTTGTCCTCTTCCACCGGTCTGTCACCTGGCGTCGGCAAACTCTCTAAGTATTCCTGTCGACACAGAGCAATAAACGCCGCCCAAAACGCCATTGCGTGGTGGTGGGCCCGACGGTAGTTGCTCCCTTCCCCCGACTTCGACCCGTCTGTGCCCAAATCCTTCGCCACGAACTCCACGCCAGCACCCCAGTACCGCCTAAGCATCACCTTGGCCATGTGCAACAGCAAATGCCAATCGCCGGGGTAGCGACGGACTTGTCGGTACTCGCGGGGCTTCTGTGCCATGACGTGGTACATGTGCTTGTATGTTTCCTCGTCCCCACCGAGTATGAATGGTGCACCAGCCTTACCGGCTAGGGACCCACACCAGATACCTTGTACGCGCTGGATGGCTCCCTTCATATCGTGAAACGCTTGGTGGAACCCTTCTGGATAAACACGTATCGCAGTTGCTGCGGCGATTTGCCCTCGGGTGTGATGGCCTACGCGTTCGAGGAATAGTGTGGAGGGCGCGACTCAGAGTCGACGAACGCCGTTTATTATTGGGTAGATGGAATAAGTCGTGGAAAAACCAGAAAGCAAGGAGGGAGAAAGTAAAAAAATGGTATCTTACCTTGCGGAGTTCAGACTCGAAGCATGTGTCTGCCGCAGCCCTGTCGGAGTTGTTCCGCGCCTCAGCGAATACGCCGCGGTAGAGTTCGGACGAAAACTCGTTATACCGCCGTGCTCCGTCCTCCCGGTCCCGCTCCGGTCCCATAAGGACGTCTTCCACCGTAAGAGATCCCCGGCTCTTGACCATCCACCAGTCGTCCATTCGACCTACGTCGGGCCCTACNCCGCGGTAGAGTTCGGCCGAAAACTTGTTTTTCTGCCGTGCTCCGTCCTCCTGGTCCCGCTCCGGCCCCATAAGGACGTCTTCCACCGTAAGCGATCCCCGGCTCTATACCAACAACCAGTCGTCCATTCGACCTACGTCGGGCCCTTCCGCCAAGGCCGTCGCAGCGATGAAGGGAAGATGAGGCCCCTCCCCCTGGCCAACTCCGACCCTCGGGTCAAAGTCACAGTTGTCCATGGGAATGGCGGCGTACTCGGCGCCCCGGCTCAGGAGGTCCTTGTCCTCTACGAACCTCGCGTGGAAATCTTCTCGGTGCTGAATTTGCGACGTCGTCGCCCATAAACCGTGCTCCGCTACAAACTTGATCACATCGTGACACGTACCCTTAGACTTTGCCCATTGAGCCCCTTTGATGTCGTGCGAACCCATGTGCCGACCACGCATAATGGCCTTCACCACCACCGTACACATCACTAGAAGCAACGATGCGTGGATCGCCTGTCGCGGGTAAGGCTGTCGATATGCCTGGCCTGTTCCCCGGTTCGTTTCCCTAACGACACCGTCACTGCTCCTTGACTGACCTTGTCCTTCTATTCTCCATCACCGTCCTCGCCCTCCAAGTCGCCCGAGGTGGTAGGGTGCCGTCGGTCTTGCCCTTCGGTCTGCCATACCCAGGGCTCTCCAGGATGCTCGGTCTCTGATGCGATGGTTTCGCGATACAGTGCCATGTTCGTCATGCTTTGGTAAAACCTAACCAAGGCCGGAGGAAACGCGGTTAGTAGATTCTCTCTGGGTGGCCTCACTGTCATGTCCGACTCATCGGCGCAGCGATGTTTCTCACGCGTCGCGGGGGTGTTCTTCAGGGCAGGATCACTCTCCACGTCGGCTCGAACAATTGTACCAGCTGCCCGCACGACGGACATCCTTGCGTCTGCGTCCTCCGTGTCCTACTCGACTTCCTCCAGAATCGACTTGAGAGACCCGCCTTTATCCGCTAGCTGGTTGGATGGTGGCTGTACGGGTGCATTACGGCGGGCACGCAGCATAAGGTCAACGAGATGCTCGTCCCCAAGGGTGTTTGGGAAGAGGAAAAGTTCTCGCTCGCGTGCGTCTCCATGTGCTGGTTCGTGACTGACCAAGCGTGAAGTCCCGGATTCCTCGATGCTTGCAAATATGGCCCGGACGATTTTTCTTGGGCATCTCCCTTGTAACTCCACCATGCCAAGCTTCGCGCGTTCCGCTGTTACCCAATCGGCGACGTCCTGCCAGTACAGGATCTCACCTCGACGGACGACTTCTTCCACGATAGCGCGCACCGTGTCCAACGGATCTGGAGGCACCGGCGCCTCACCCCCCCATCCATGCGCATTGTTCGCTGGGTGCTCTGGCTGTTTCTCGTCTCTATGACCTCCAACCGTTTCTGATAACAGCGGCCGCACCACCAAAGGCCATCGCTCACCACTGCGTTCCCCTCCGCGACATCGTCATCTGCAGCATCCATGGGGTACCACCTTACGATGCTCTTGCCCAATTTCCGGTACCCACATGTACCGCAAACGCGAGACTCTGCCTTCCTTCCTTCCTCGGCGAAAAAAGCTAGGAAGCAGTCTGGGCGTGCGCAGAGGCAGTCATTGCTGGGCCTAAAGTCTCGCACGAGAGCTGGAGGGAGGGTTTTCTCTCCTTGTGTCCACGCGGCCACGGAGTCTACTGCTCGCCCTAACCGGTCCGGGCGGAGGTGCTTGAAACCGTCGTCAGTCGGAGCCCTGTGGCATGCCGAACATAGCTTATCGTCGTCCGAGTGCACTACACTACCGGGGCATTTGCTACACTCGGTGCCAGGGTGGTCTGTAACCCATCCGCATTCCATCCGCTCGCACGCCTTCCTTCGCTTCTTGCTTGTTGGTTGGCGTACAGATAGCGCCGCTGGGGCAGAAAGTCTCCTACCCGCATTCCGCTTTCCAGGCTGAGAACCGGCTTGTCTTGGGTTCCCGCCGTGACTCCTACGCCGAGGATCAACGGGGTGATTCCCCGCGGATTCTGCTTTTCGCCGTTCGTCTTCGGCAATCGCGCGAGCTTTACGGGCCAATGCCTCCCTCCTCGCCTCGCCCTGCTGTCTGTAGTAATCCTCCTCGAGCTTGCTCTCAAGATTGGGTAGGCCACCACCCGTGACACCAACAGAGGGCCTCTTNCCACCCGTGACACCAACAGAGGACCTCTTCCTGCGCTTCCTGCCCGACCGGGATTTTCCTCCCGTCCGACGGACGCGTGCACCGGAATCTCTCGCGTCGCGCTTTGTCGCGGCGGGGGGGGGTGCGCACCTCAGTGGTTAGGTTGCCCTCTCTCCTGCTCCCGATCCGTGGACGTTCACTTGTTACGTCTGCCCCTGAGTTGTCGACCACTAGAGTACGCGGGGTTAGCATGCCTTCCGTAAGCTGACGAAGGTCCCATGCTGGCTGCATACCCCCGCTTCCGGGTGTAACAGAGCTCCCAGGCTGGTTCCGAGGCGTAGCTGGTGGCGTAGCCGGTTGACTTGTGGGGTTGTTAGCCCCACCAGCCCGGTTGCCCCGCCTACCTCTCCGACGGGTCATCTGTGAGCACGACCTGTGCCGGCCGTTATCCATGCATTAAACACCTGGCCATGGTACACGACCAAAAATTACAAAATGTCACGTGACACGTACAGCCTACGCAGGCGNTGGTGGCGTAGCCGGTTGACTTGTGGGGTTGTTAGCCCCACCAGCCCGGTTGCCCCGCCTACCTCTCCGACGGGTCATCTGTGAGCACGACCTGTGCCGGCCGTTATCCATGCATTAAACACCTGGCCATGGTACACGACCAAAAATTACAAAATGTCACGTGACACGTACAGCCTACGCAGGCGCACACCTATGCTGTGTCTGTGGGCGCGCTTCGTTGTCTCTTGACAGTCATGCATAACATATGATCCTCTGTATGGGCATGATTATGTACCTTAGAGCATGACGGAGTGAAAGCTGTCGATCTACGTACTTTATATGCCCGACTCGACATTTCTGCGGCGTTTCAATCTACTGCTGTATATGCACGGTCTGGAGTGTACGTAGCTGAGCGCCCCGGGTCATGTTTGACTCGTACCATGGCAAAGCACCGAGTCTAACTTTAACTTCAAGACAGACGTACTTGCCCTCTCGAAGTCCAGATTCCTATGAATTGTTGTGGCGGCCGGACTGTATCGGGCATTTCCATAGTATATTTGGATGGGGGTCGTGTATCCAGTGGATGTACATGCGCAACATGCAAGAGCGTGCGTTCGAACCCCCCGGCGTGGGCTCTCCTGAAATTTGAATTTTGAACACACCATGCTTATTTTCTACCGCACTAAATCGCCTCAAACCTTCTGCATTAGGTGACAATGAGACCTAGATATATGTCGGCAGCATAACTAGGCTCCAAGACGCCAACCTTGCGCAGAGGTCGGCTCGCGTGTGAAGCTTCCTCGCNTAACACACCATGCTTATTTTCTACCGCACTAAATCGCCTCAAACCTTCTGCATTAGGTGACAATGAGACCTAGATATATGTCGGCAGCATAACTAGGCTCCAAGACGCCAACCTTGCGCAGAGGTCGGCTCGCGTGTGAAGCTTCCTCGCGGATTTTGGAGCTGCCGCAGTGGTACGCTCTAGCTCAAGTCTAACTTTCTCACCCTAACATGTGTATCTAGGCGTGTAAAACATACCTTGCTATGCCCTTGCATCGTGTTAAGCGTACCCAGACAAGGGATTTTGACGCTGGCTCTTTTCTCATACTTTATAAAGGCGGTTGGTGATGGTCTTGGCGAGTACTTTGCCTACATGCGAGAGCAGCGAGATGCCCCTGTAGTTGTTGCAGTTCGAACGGTCACCCTTCTTGTACAGCACCTTAATGATGGCATACCATGTACTTGTAGTACGACGTTTTGCGCATACTGAGTACAGCATTTTAGACTAGTCTGCAGTCATTTGGATACAGCCAATTGTGTGTGTGTTCTTTAGATCTTCTGATGGCTCTAGCATTTTTGTGACCACGGACCAAGTATTTGCTAGATTTTTTTTGGGATTTGCATCTGACACGAGTTTAATGTAAAGAAAAAAAAAAAAACAACAACAACAGCAAAATACATACAGCAGGTAAACAAGGAAGGATAATTATAGTTATTATTAATAGTTGGTAAAATTTCAGATCAGAACATACTTCATAATAAGGACGACATGAAGATGTTCGAAGCCAGGTACGGCTCCACGACCGACAAGCCCGAGCGTCTTCGGAGTCCCGAAGTTAGTCTGGAGTGAGGCGGCGAAGGTGGAGGGGGGGGTACCGTGGCACGCGGGGGTGCTACAGGGAGCTGAGAGGTTCATGGCCTCTTGGCACAACAAGGGCAAGGAGGAGGCCAGCCGACAAAGAGCCATCAAACGAGGAGACAGCGGGCCCAAAAATAGTCTAGATACGGCACCAATAAACATAGTACAAAGAAAGAAAACAACCTTCCCGCCGGAGGAACCTGGTCCGTTGTGCTAGTATCAGTAGAGGATATCATCAAGAGGCGTCGTGCGTGCTGGCACGTTCAGGTATACTACTGGGGCTGAAATATCGAAGGTCGCAGCAGCCTCTGAAAACGGTCCGAAATCTGCGCCGGAACCAAGCGGAACCCAACACTTGTCACAGCGGTGCTCACCACCACGGACCGCAAACCCCTCAACTGCGGGTTGTCAGCAGTAGCTGGTGGCATCAGCTACTGCTGTAAACCTGCAGTTCAGAAGATTGGGTTCAGTGGCGGCGAGCACAAGCAGTACAAGACACTGGGTGTCGATCTAACTTGCGGAGATTTGCGGAGATTGTGGGCCACTACAACGACACTCGATACCACCACCACAGAAGAAGTTTTGAGCGCGCCAACACACCCCCCCCGCTGCTATAGGGTGTCCTCTAGTGATATTGGTACAATGGACCAGGTTCCTAGCAACACCGGCCTTATTTGAGCGCCTTCCGTTTGGGCTCTTTTGACTTGAATTTAGACTGGTGTGGATTTTTATCTTGGTTCCAAAGGATGCGTGTGGAGGTAGACGCGCGAAAAGCACGTTTTGAGCGGTCTCTACTGCTGCCCTGTGCCAGAATTTTGGACTTGTTTGTTTTGCGATGCCTTCCGACTGGTCTTATGTGTCTCTAGTGCATTTTCTGGCGCTCTTGCGTTTGTTTTCGAAATTAGGCAACATAGCAGGAGGTTGTCCGGGTACCCTTAACACACCTCTCGTGTTGTCTGGGCAGTTTAGCCTCTGGTTCGCCCTCTAGAGCCGGTGCTGGGTTTGGAGCTCTGTTGCGCCGCGAGTCGCCTGATCAGAGGGGTTCCACAGGGGGCTGCTTTCCCGTTGGAAGCTTATTTTCACACTTACTTTTTTTTTTTTCAGTCGTGCAGCACTGGTTGTTCAGCCGCGGCGGGACGTGCTGCCGAGAAGGTCTGTCGTCTGTGTGCGGAGTGCAGAGACAGCCCATGATGTGCTGTGCATATGCACACGACTTGTAGTAAAGGCGTTCAAGGTGAGGACTTGTTCGAGGAAAAGGCGCTTCCTGATGCGCATATTATGCCCTCGGCGAGCGAGAGAGAAGGACTGCCGTATGACCACACTTTACCAGGGCGGGCAGGAGAGCGACTGGGTGTCTCGTCTAGGAAGTGACCTCGTGGCCTTCAACATGGGAGACGAAAAGGAAGCGGGGAAATGGAAAGAGAGCTCCAAGGACCCGGACGTGTGGTACAAGGTCGAGGACGGGGCGGCATGGCTCATGAGGAAATGGCACAGACAGGAAGCGGAAGCGTCCGCGAAGCGCCAGCGCGCGAGGGAAGCAGGAGCAGAGAGTACGGCTATCTCACAGGACCAAAGAGAAAGAGAGTCGGGGAAGCGGCAGTGGGGGGTGTACTCATAGTCGTGCAGTCGTTAGACCATTGACCTCGCATCCCTACAAAGCCGGGACGGAGCACGCCGGGTTCTCACCGGACCAGGCTCTCACATCACCAAGCGCGAAGCGCCGTGAGATATTCGGCGAGTCGCATGAAGGGTGCGCTGCATCCTGCTAAGGGTTTTCGGCATCTTGTGCTTACTTCCTTGCGTACGGATGACAGCTGCGTATGACTTAAAAGCGGCGGTGGGCGGGAAGAAACGGCGAGCGGGCACTGCTGCTGTAGAAGCGAGTAGGGCGGCCGAGGCAGCACTTGTGGCGAACTATGTACCCGGCTGATGTTGTTGCGCCCTGTTTCCCTCCCTGCTGTATGCTATACTCCTTTCTGTATGTCCTTTGTATTGCCTTCGGCCTCTGTGCTGTGTTTCTTTTTTTTCATGTCCTCCCTGCCTACTCTGCTGTGTTGGATACCTCTTGATCTCGCTTTTGCTGTTGCTTTTGTTTTTGTACATCTATCTGGCTGTCTGCCCATCTGCCGCTTCTTTGTCCTGTTTGCTCCGTTACTCCCATGCCCTGGTGCGTTGTGCCTGGTGCTGGTACGTTACCCTTTGATTTTTTCTTTGGGCGGTTGAGGGAAGCGTCCTCCTTATTTTTTTGTTTTTGTTTTATTTTGATCGGTTTCCGAGGGCTCTTTTCTCGAACGGTCGGTGCGATATCTGTTCTTTTCTTTCTATCATTTTGTTTTCTTTTTCCGAGTGGTTTGTACCCTATTTTTGTTTTTTTTTCCCGCGGCGTCGTATGTGCCGGGTTTTGAGACCACGGACTCCCCATTTTCGTTGGACTATAGACTTGCACTGAGAAACAACAACANGGAAGCGTCCTCCTTATTTTTTTGTTTTTGTTTTATTTTGATCGGTTTCCGAGGGCTCTTTTCTCGAATGGTCGGTGCGGTACCTGTTCTTTTCTTTCTATCTTTTTGTTTTCTTTTTCCGAGTGGTTTGTACCATATTTTTGTTTTGTTTCCCCGCGGCGTCGTATGTGCCGGGTTTTGAGACCACGGACTCCCCATTTTCGTTGGACTATAGACTTGCACTGGTCGCCCCGGTGGTCTCGTGGTATCCTCGTAATCCGCTAGTCGCAGAGGTCGTGAGTTCGAATTCCCATGGGGGTGAAAAATTTAAGAAATTTCCGGGTGAAAGCGAAGTATGGCTGACAAGCTCTCGTGAGTACCAAACTTCGACGTTAGCACCGTTGACGAGGGAAATGGACAGCTGGACCCTTCTCGCGATAAAAATATAATTCAGCACGCACCGCAGGAGGAAGGTGGGGCATGAAAATAAATAAAAAGAAGAAAAAATCCCTGGTGTTTACCCCCTCCTGTGTGACCCTGGATGGTTGTATTTGTACGAAAAAATACACTGAAAAGTGTAGTACTCTACATACACTGAAAAGTGTAGCACACGTCTCACGATGGAAAATGGGGAGATTGCTGTCGCCATACTAAATAGGACGAAAACACACACAACACACACAGCCAAGAGCAAATGTGAGAAACAACAACAAACAAACAAACTTTTGAGGCGAAGCGGTCTCCAGTCTCCGATCACCGAGCTGTCTCGCATCAATCTCACACCTCGCTTTAGAGCTACCACAGGCATGGGTACCTGCCTAACGCCCATCATCAGGTATCCCCGTGCTGGGGGGGCAGTGTTCGGCAGCGTCGTATAAATAGTAGACTGTTGCTGCCGTCGTTGATGTTGTCACCAAGTTTTCCGATCTCTCGCAGCGTGTAGACTATACTACGGCTGTACCCCTCGTTGTTAACACCACAAAAAAGTTGGAAGTTCACGTGTGCAACCGCTGTTCAGGTTCTGACAACCTTCAGCGGTGTCTGCTGTGCAGACACACACCATGTGGGGCGTCCCATTGTTCGGAAGGCTATACCACGGACTTGTATTTTGCAAAATCGCCGTCGTACCGGAAGCCATCCCGTCGCCTGTCTTGTTCCTGCGTATGGTATGCGTGTGCCCGACCGCCTCAGAGATCGTTCCCTGACAGTAGTACACATTCATTCACTGCTGCTGCTGTAGTCCTTCTTGGGGTGCCCACCGGAACATAACAAAGATCAATTTCGATCCCAGGCTTAACTTTTTTTAATCGTTGCCCCGTGCAAGTTTCAAAGTACATAGCAGGGAATTAGCGTCCACCACGCAAGGTGTTGTTTCTTATCTATTGGCACTACATTCGTTTTTTTTGTGATGCTTCCTTGCACTTCAAGTACAAGCGGGCCTTGATGGGTACGTGTTGTTTCAAACATTGAATCGCTAACGATGTTTGCCATTTTTTTTCATGTCTAGTACGTGAAATACGATAGAGACATCTCGAGAGGCCTCACGTCTCCCAGTGCGTGAGTTTCCTCAGTTATCGGCCACCTTAACAGTGACGAATGCGGGACCCATTTTCGGCACAGCGCGACCGTACCGAGATGAATCTTCGTTAGGAGGCATGCACAACGCGAATGAAGCCTACAGCAGCACGACCCTACCCGTCCGGCCTAAAACACCCACGTTACGAACAAAGAAACCATTAATCCGCTGGAAGTCCAACGGGGTGGCGGTATGGAAGTACGATAGAGCACTGCCACGGCAGCCGCCTTCCTCCACACTCACAATTTGTGCGTAGTAGACGGTACCTGGCTCCTTCCCCACCTAGCGCGTCAGTCGGACCGGTGCTAATGTTTCAAGGGCACCAATGAACAGAGCCTGGAACGGTTTCGCTGGGCAGAAAACAACAAACAAGAAAGTATCTTGCGCAGGAATGGCCCCGTCAAATGCCTCACCAAAGAGCGAGCTCTTTGAATCCTACTTGTCACAGGGATTCAGAGAGACGTAAACGACATTCAAGGGCAAACATGCCCTCCGAAGAAGAGCGAGCTCTTTGAATCCTACTTGTCACAGGGATTCAGAGAGACGTAAACGACATTCAAGGGCAAACATGCCCTCCGAAGAAGAGCGAGCTCTTTGAATCCTACTTGTCACAGGGATTCAGAGAGACGTAAACGGCATTCAAGGGCAAACATGCCCTCCGAAGCACCAGTCCATGTCGTAGCGGCACTCACTCTGTCGTGGGGGCAAGTCAGATTGGGGGATAAGCCTTCCCGTCGATCTTCAAAACGAACTCAAACCTTCTAAAGGCGATATTTCCCAACAATATGCGTCTTCTTCTTGTCTCCTTCATCTACTGCAACTGGCTCATTTTTTTGAATGGATGTAAACCATATTTAACATATTTTGAACGATACCCAGAATCCCAAAGTTGGAAATCTTTCTGTCAAACCTCGCGGTCGGTGGAAGGAGCACGCAACGGTTGCCCACGTGTATCCTGTCCAATACGCTCGGAACTACGTGCCCATCTCCCTCGTGGCCTGACAGGAATTCTCGCGGGGCGTGTTATCAGCTTCAAGTCACGCTTTAGAATTGCACGGATTTCGGAGAGAGGTCAAGAAGAATGTCGAACGATGAGCCGTGGGAACCTTTAACCCTTGTCGATTACGTCGTGCTGGGAATGGTGGGTACGTTCCAAGCCTTTGCCCTAGGCGTGTGCATCCATCTAATTCGGTGGCGGAAGTGGCCGCCATACGTCACCAAGAACGTCGATATCGTCATCATCATGGTGGGTAGGAATATGATGCATTGCACGCCTGTTTATCGTTGTCCTTGTTGTTGTTGTTGTTGTTGTTGTTGTTGTTGTTGTTGTTGTCTCACTCAGGCGGTAAGCGCTGTTTTGGCTATGCTTGAAGCAGAATTATAATGTGCCTCGATCTTACCTTTCCGCTCTATCTCGCTCTTTCTTTCCTCTACGCTCTTCTCACTACCTCCTCGTTCGATACCCCCCCCCAGGCGCTCACTTTACCGTTGTCTTTCTCTCTCCGTTCTTGCCTTGTTTTTTCGTCCAGACGCTCGCGGGTTTCGCGTGGACCTTTGCGTCTGCTCTGGAGACCGGCCTTATCGAGAGGAATGAAGGCGACTTCCTCGCCAACTGCTACTTTGAGGTGCGCCTCTCTCGCTTTGTCTCCCTCGCCCTCTCTGGACGAGTTGGATACACCGTGCGATGCATGCACCCCTTCGTCCAGCTCTCTGGGTTGTTTGCTGATTTCGTGGTGACATGTTAGCGTTTCAAGTGTCGAACTTAGGCGCAAGCGGCACGGCACTAGATCGACTCTCGCAAAATTGGGCGTGAATATCAAACGGGCGGTGTACGGGGAGGAGAGGTGGTGGCGGCGGTCACTTGTGCCAGTAGGCGGATGAAGGGTGACATGGATCGAAACCACTTCCGCGGGATCGCACTCTGTTGACACGTAGAACCTGGTGGCTGGCAAGGGTGTGGGACTGTACATTGTATGAGCATGCTCCACTTCCGTGTGAATGTGGAACGTTAAGCCGGACCCTCCATTTCTTCAACGTGACGCGTTACGTTCGCTTTTGCGCGACACAACGGCCTTGCGGCTTGTCTCGAACAGCGCTGCGTGGTACATATGTCCTCGTTTCGTGTGTAGACAGGAGATCGGCGGCTCTTTCAAGCGGGTTCCATGTCGTCGTTTGCACTCCACATTCCGCTCTGTTGGCTTCCCTTCTCCCTGTCAGCGCTCTCTGTGCCCTTTTCTCTCCATCTGCTGTGCCAGGCATCACCTTTGTGTTACCACTTCGCGTCCGTGTGTTTGTCTTTCCCCCCCCCCCCCCCCCCCCCNATGTCGTTTGCCGTTCGGGTTTACCGGATGTGGAGGATTTTGATCAAGCACGACGACCACATGTGGCCCGCAAAGTGAGCATTCCCCGTTGGCATTGTGATCGATTCCGAGATTTGCGTTCGTACGTAACGACTTTTTCTGCGGAGCAAACCTAATCGCGTTCGACTACGAAGAGGCCTTGCTGAACTCACCGGTACTTCTATGTAGAGTACGGTGCGAACACCACTTTTTGTTTTGTGCTTTTCATTGTTTCGGGGGCGACTGAGTTGCGGTCAAAGCAGTCACGCTGTTCGACCTTCCACAACCATGAGGCTGCGTGTCACGTCTCTAACAACGTCTACCATCGGCGCACCAGGGTTGGAATAAGCTGCGCACGCTGCGATCTTAGATAGTGCCACAGTGGTCGAGGCTGCTTCAGAGACTCATCAGCTTTGACAAGGTCTTAATGTTTTGTGTGTCTTTGTACCCTACCGTGCGAGACTTGGAGGGAAGGCAACAACAAGTCGCTCAAAAATTTACGAGCTTTTTTTTAGACATGGTGTTTGATGTCCTGGTAATCAGAAGACGTTGCTAAGCGATGTCTACCACCCCCACCCGTCAGATACCAGGTATTGCTGATGTCAAGTATCAGCCTGGGCCCTCTGCTGGCGGCCATTCTTGTCCCAGATCTCCATTTCTTCGACGAGACTGTCAATTCTTGCAACACAACGACGGATTCGAGGAACGTGGTCCTGGCGATGAACGCCCTGGGGTTCTACGTCATCTGCTATCTTTGGTGAGGCAAATGAAGGACATTGTGGTGATGTTGAAGATGGCGGTGGAGGGAAAGCAGTGGTCGAGGGTGTATAGCTTCGCGTTTGAGGGTGTTTAGTTGTGTTGCGGGTGGCGGTAGTCGTCGTCGTCATTCTTGCCGTAGGTCATTATTGTCGTTGGGGTTTCATCAACAGGCCTCTTATGTCCTGTTCCGTCGATGCTGCTACAATCAGGTTTGTTTGCGCCCGTCAGCTGAGGTGGGTCCGGAAGCAGTTCAACGAGTACGAGGCCATGAAGTGGACCCTGTCTTGCCTGACTTTGCTCCTGTTCAGCTACGCGGCCGTGGTGGCCATAATCCTCAACAACCGACATGTTTACGTCAGAAGAGTGGCCATTGTGTGTGAGTCTCTGTCTCCCTTCGTGTTCCTGTTGATGTTTTGATTTGTGTTGCCATTTCCTTCTCGAGGGTGACTATTGTTGGTGAGGTTGTGGTTAGGAACATGGGCCGGCGGTTAGTTGAAGGTGCATGGCCTGAAAGAGCCTTGCTCGTCCAACACAACGTTAGTGACAAAGGCAGTAGCGGTCACGATGCCATCGTGGCGGCAAACCGCTTACCGCTTACACCCCTCTGCCAATACCTTCCGTTATGACACGATCCAGACCCTGTGCTGACGACGTACACGCTGCTGTGGGGCTCTATAGGGGAGCCAATCAAGAGGAAGCTCGGGGGAGACACGGAGTACCTGAACTCGTTCACTAAGGGCTTCTCAGAAATGCCATCGCCCGCGCAGGTTCGGAAACTGCCGCCCGCAGCTCGTGACTCCAGCAATGATCTTGTTTTGGTGGGTCTGGGTTTGTTGTTGGTCGTTGCTGTTGCTGTTTCTTTTGTTGTCGCCGCTAGATTGTTGTTGTTGCGTGTGCTTGTCCGCGGAGGATTGCGTGATCGCGGCTTCACGAGCCACGCGTGACATAGCTGTACCGAGTTTCGCTTGGATATGTGGCTGGCAGGTGTTTTTTAGTGCGCCTGGGTACATCATTCACGCCCGACAGTCGATGGGCCGACCCGGTAGCCGTGGTCCGTTTGGTTTGAGCATGCAGAATTCAAACGTGGGCTTATTTCCACTCTCAGGCAGCAAGTGGGAAGTAAACGGATAACGAAACGGCAAGACGTCTTACTCCCAAAGCGTATTTGGTACTCATGCTAGGTGAGAGATAACACGCTCCCCCCCCCAAATGCAAGCCCTCTTGCATTGTACGCACAATGCAGGCCTCATCGGAGTTGCTCGCTTCTACTGCCACTACCGGTGGCAATAATCGGGCTTTTCATCAACTCATGGCATGCTTGTGAATCTACCTTCCTTTGTTTGGCGCCCCGTGTCTCGGATTAACTATCACACATGCACCTTTACAGCTCAAGGCTAGCTTGGCGGAGCAACTGTCCGTACAGCAACTTCGCGTCGAGTTTCGGAGGTACGTCGAGACTATGGTGGCCCAAGAGCTGGTGGACTTTTACCTCGACTCGCTAGACAGGGAGGAGATCAAGGGCTATTTCGCCAGACAGGTAATAAAGCGGCAGTAGCAGGGATGCTTAGCGAAGGCTTGTGCCATCGGGCCCTCCAACTCATGCAAGAATTGCACGCGACTTCCATGTGCCGATGATCGAGTCACTCATACACCAACTTGCCATCCAGGACCCGTGACGTAGGTGTGTTTGTTCAGAGACTACCGTAGTCGCTACGTCCTACTCCACATCGAAATTCCGAAAGATTGGACGGCGAAAGTGAGCTACATATGAGGTGTTTGTGGAGTTTCGGCGTGTGCCGTAATAATGCATCACGTAGCCATGAGACAACGAAACACTTCCATCGTTCCATGCACCTGCATGAAAATGTGACGAGTGGGTTCTCAATGTGATGAGTGAGTTCTCAATGTGGTTGGTTCGGCGGGTGTAACGTGTGTCGGCATGGTTACGTTAGACCTAAAGGCCGATGATGACGTTGAATCTATACGATACGAAAGGAACCAATTGTGGGTCGGCTGTGACAGCGGTAACCTTAGCCTCAGGAGGACTAGTCAATCCCCGTGCCTGGCTCTGCTCGCAATTTGCCTTCGTCGACATATATAGCTTGGCAGTGCTGCGTCTTCGGTGCACGTTGATCTAGAAGGCGTCCGGCTTTTGTCACGTTCTTCACGCGTTATCCGTTGTCACGGAAAAAGTGGATGGCCAGTGGTAAGCCATTAAGGGAATAAGATGTACCATTCAAGGGTCTGGGGAGAGTGTGTGCCTCCGACGGTACACTGGAGGCTGAACGATTTGTGATGGTAGTGGCGATGACGCTCAGAGGAGCCTCATGGGGAAAAGAAACACGTGTCTCCCAAACCTATGGCCTCTGTGTTTTGTTCCTCGGACGGGGTGAAACGACCTACCCAAGATGTGCCCGTACAGATACCTCACCGTAGACAGCATCGCCCCCCCCCCCGCGGCGGATTGTTCTACAGGCGGCGACGATGCGCATTGTGGAACAGTACATCAGGGAAGGGGGTCCTGATCAGGTGCGGACAAGCGTCCGATGTCACCGTTTGTCCTTTTCCCAGCGCCGCAGCCAATCCGTTGCAGATGATTACGTCCGCTACGGAAAACCAGCTGACCACAGCGTGCGATCGCTAGAGTATCTCAGACACGAATTGATCGTATAATGCTGAACAAATGCGTGCACGCACACCTGCAGCAGCAAGACGCCACACTATTGCACAAAACGTGTTGTTCCCATTCCCTCCGTTTGCCTATTCTACGGCGTCGGTGTTGCGTTGGCAGGTGAACATTTCGGGGGAGTGCCGGGAGGAGATTTTGTCGACAGACGTTACGGCCTACGACATCTTCGACCGCGCCAGAGCAGAGGTTCTGGCCGTTATGGAGGTAACACGGGAGAAAAGTGACCATCAGTGAGCCTCCAAGCCCCTTCCACTTGCCAGGTTGCAGTCCAAAGATCACCCGTATCACGTGAACACCGTGATGTGCGCGCCAATGAGGCCCATAGGCTTCTCTTGCAGATTTTGGTGTCAGGGAGGACAAGTGGTCCTGATCATTGCCGTGGATTGATCAAGTCTGGTGAAAGTCCGGGGTTTCCCAGAACAAGGCAATGTGCCGCAAGCTGGCGAATGATCTCACGCGACTTTTTTGGGTCAATTACACAACAACCAAGAGGCCTGCAAATCGGCGGCAACAAGTTTTCATTTGTTGAAAGGGTGTAGAGGAAAGTTTTCTTCGCGTGTGCAGGTTTCGTGTCTGCTTGGTTGTGGAGCAATCGATCTTTGAAAGTCGGGCTGAATTGCGGGCGATTAGTCGTACTCTTACCGTCCTTTTACCAGCCGCAAAGGTTTCATGGGCATCATGAATGCCTATAGGAGCATCCTCCTCGACACGAATCCAAAACTCAACACTGCCACCTCTCTGCTGTCGAAGAAATAGTTTCGACACGCGCATATCAGAGTGATTCTTACGCTTCCTTCAAAAGCACGCAGCATAATACAGACACACCCGTTTCCCTCTCCCTGTCCCATCTCTGTTGCCCCTTCCAACCACCATGGCGGCGAGCGCAGACCAACTTCCAGAGGGATTTCGTAGAGACGGAGGGGTTCCGTCGAATCGTTGACGCGTCCGAGCTGGAGCAGCGAGAGATGCGCCTCCTGCGGGCGGAGGGCGTCTTGGTCCCGAGCGCGTCAACGACCCCGGTTCGGCTGGCGGCGCCCCGCTCCATTTTCTCTCCACGGGGTCGCCTGGTGGACTCGTTGAGATGCTTGCCCTTGGTGGGGAGATTGTTTTCTTCTTCGTCGCCCTCAGCCGTAGCACACGCTGTATCTAGGTCGACTACTCCGGGTGGTGCAGGAAGTGGCGAGGTCGCCGCTAGAAGAAATATTGTAGGTCATCTTGAGGAGGAGTTTGGGGATGCATGACGCTGTCGATGTCCGAGTCGACAGTGGCTGCGCTCAGTCCACTCAGGATCTCGGCGCCTCCTTCCGGTGTGGCTAGTTCGTTCGAAAGAAGGTTGCGAAGAGGAAGGGACGGCGATATCTGGGCATTGAGACTCACGGCACCGGCAGGAGCTGTATGGGGGGGGCGGTACAAGCTCGTACCACATATATTTTGGGAGACTTCCGTTCTACCGCAGGTCGAATGGGAGGTATCCCTGCTACCGCTGATGATGCCGCAACAAGGGTTTTCGATCGTTACTCAGCACAAGACAAATCTGCTGCGACCGTCCCTCAAAAGACGGAGGGTAGGCAACGGGAGTAGAAGGCTTAATGGAGGGGTGATCGGCAGGTATACCGATCGCGAAACAATAATAAGAGCGAGGCAGGGAGAGATGGGCACAGAGGAGCCACATACCACATAGATAGGACAATCGTAATGCCGCGCTACACATGGGCGTGGACGACGAGGCAAGACTAGCGGGAAAACAAACGTAGAGTCGAAGACCAATGGACCAGCGGGATCTTAATAGACGGTAGATCAATGTGGATGTTGTCTACGCTGGGGGTTGGGCCGATACACTGAATAGTCCACACACACCGGGACAAGTGTTGAAAGAAAGTTGTTACACTAGCAAGGTGCCGGTGCATCCGAGGCGACTCGATAGCGCATGTGTCAATTGAAGGTGTGGAGTTGGTTTTATTCGGGAAATTGTGCTGTAAGTTTTGTGTTGTTTTGTGTATCGTGTTGATATTTGCTGACATCTTGACGGCAGCCCTGCGTTAGGTTCCCCCCGTTTGTAGGCATGAAACCATACCTCATGGTAGAACTATATGTATTGGGTGGTGTTTCGTGTAGAACAGAGGTACTGTGGAGAACAGAGGTTCTGTGGAGAACAGAGGCACTGTATATGCGTTGGGGCGGGGTTCGTGATGATTTTGGCAAACTTTAAAGGAGTTGAAGCCGTGGTAGCTTGCTCCTAGAGATAGATGGAGGTTCTGTCGTTGACACACTTGTCCACGACCACGTTGAGATGGGAAGTTGCTTGTCATTGCTGAGAGACGATCAGCAAACAAAATCAATGTCCAAACGCCACACACCATTTTTTTGCTGGCACCCGCGCGTATCACAACTGGAGGAGTGAGGGTGACTACCCGAGAGAGTCCAAAATACGGTGACGAAACTCAAAACCCGAACAAATTTCCAAATGAACACAGCCTTTGATACTGGATGCGACACAAAGGGAAAACTCAACGCAATCTAAGGCAACGTCAACGAAGGGCAGGCGAAAAGAACGACAGGCAAAGGCACGGAGAACGATTGCCAGCGTGCCAGGGTACCCAACTCGTATAAGGCGACGGCAAGGGCAAGACCTAATATGGACCATGAACGCAAAGCACAAACGACTAATGCAAGAAAGGCGGTCTGACGAACTGCACCATGGCTTGCTGGCGATGCGCATCAAACAAGACATAAAACACAGAAAAGTCGTGGAGATACCCACAAAAAGACGACGAATCAGGGGCCCGACGGTGATGTAGGCGTCACCCTGAGGTGGCGATGATGGAGACGAAGCAGAGCGAAGTGTGGGTGACGATGAGAATACACGGGAGAAGGCGACGCAACGGGATGGAATCCTGAAGCACCAAGCGTATGCGACACTTCTGTGGCACGATGGAGTTAAAACAAAAAACAATTAGACCAACATTTATTTGTTGGCAAACAAGCGAACCAGGAAAACGCGATGAACTTGGTGTCCAAGTGTCCCGAGGCAAACAACACCCACGAAACTTGGGGGCCTCTTTTTCCAAGTATTCAGAGGCAAACGACACCGACGAAACTTGGGGACCACTTTTTCCAAGTGTCCAGAGGCGCACAACACCGACGAAACTTGGGGAACTCTTTTTCCAAGTGTTCAGAGGCAAACAACACCGAGGAAACTTCGGAGGCAGCCTGTCGAGAGAACCAAAGACCAACAAAAAAAAAAAGCAAAGGCGAGAGAGACCGTACGTCCAGGTCGCGGCAGTTCACTATTTCAGACTAATGCAGGCAACAAGGAAGAAGGATCACTCGGCACTGCGTGTCTTGAGGCGGCGTTGCCCCAGCGTCGAAAACAAAAAATAAGCCAACAAAAGAAAAGAGACAGGTCACTTATGAAAAAAAGAAAACAAAACACATTGGAAGGTGTGTGGAGGACACCTGTCGGAAAATATAACCAACCATTTGTGCACATACAATGTGTAGGAAGATATGATTCCTCGGGGTTACTTGCCATCGGGAAAGTGGCAAGTATAGCACCGAGGAGATTTGTTTCTTCCGACGTCCATGGCCGATTGCCAAGGGCAGAGATGAACTAACCTCCGGCTCTCCTCTGTCGACCCTCTGGTCACCCATTTTCTACCTTCCTCTCCTCGTACATCGCACGAAAGGAAATAGCCACCCTTGACCGTGGGAGAATACTGCAAAAGTACCGGCCTCTGTCACCGACAGGGACCAATAATGTCATTGACGTCGACGAGAACACGGCCCCGCCGTGATTTATAGCGAGACGGAAAGGACAAGAAGAGGAAATCGCGATGCCCAACACCAAGAGCTCGCAGCAGAAAAAATTGCGTGAGCGCGCTGAAGGCGCAGAGAAGCGGGCAGAGAAGATAACTGCTGAACTGACGCCTCACCAGGAGGAGCTTGCGGAGCTACGGCAAGAGCTCGCTGCCGCGAAAGCCGCCTCGTCGCAATTGTCCGTTACCCAGTCGGGGCTGGGCACCCCTCCTCAGCGTGTGGCAGTACCAATCCCGAATGGGAACGAGCGCGCCGAGAGCGAGGAAAAGGGTGACACACCTGATGGCATCCCTGACGGTGGCGACGGGGATGACAGCGGCGAAGAGGATAATCGCGGCGGCGATGGAGCTGATAACCAGAGGTTCAGCAGCGATTATGACATGCACATCATTCACCAGCTGCTTCAAGGTTTTCGGACACAACAGGGAGTCTCACCCGAGGACCGTCAGGCGCTCATGTCCAGTGCAGGAGGCCAGTTCTCCGAGTTACTCGCCCAACACTGGAAAGACGGCTCCACACCACCCGAGTGGCTGGTGTCACTCTTCCGGCCTACCACGCAGCCCTCCACCACAACTCCGGCCTCTGCAGAAGAGGTTGCTCAGGTGAATACTTCTTCTTCTGCAGTAGCAGTACCGTTGAGAAGAATCAGAACATTGGAGGCAGCCACTCCTCCTCAGGTCTCATTTTTCGCCATCCAGTATTGCCCGCTGCAACTCAGAACTCACGTATGCATCCACGCAGCTTAGCTCTCGAGTTGGCATCTGCGCAGCATAGCGAGGATAGTACACACAGGCCTAGCAACCCTGTAGCACCGTCCGCGCCCCAGCTTGAAAAATCTTCTAAATGCCTGTAGAAACCCCCGTTTTAATGCATACATCTAGCCATAGCTACTCATTGATCAACAGTTTACTCTCCGGCAGAACGACCTCCCAAAAGAAATCGCTTTTTCAGGGAAGCCAGGGGAGCCAGATGTGGTTGAAATTCTAACTCGATACAGAGCACGTGTGAAGTTAGCCTGCGTTGCGGCCGATGACCCACCCGAAGCTGTAGTGGACCAAAGAGCGATCCAATTTCTCCCGTGTATACTTCGAGATCAAGCCCACGACACCGTAGTCGTAAGTGGCTCTCTCTCTCGAATGGCGGTCGGCGAGTCGTTTAACCGCACTTCGGAACACAGGACAAGTAGTCAGGCCAAGAGCACCCGCGACATGGGACGAATACTGTCAGGCCTTTACCTTCCAATACTCCGCGCCCAACCACTTGGCGGTCTTAGCCAGAGAAATCGCCACTATACAGCAGGGAGATAACCAGAGGGTAGACGGCTTTGCGCTCAAAGTAACTCAGGCCCGCACGCGCCTCCTCGCGGAGGCTTCTCGTTCAGGTCCCTCTCACCTCAGCCCTCACGAACAAGAATGGGACGCTTTCATGACCGCAACGTTTGAGAACGGCCTTTTGCCTCACATAAGGGTGGAATGTGTTAGAGAAGACTCCACTCACTCATTTCAGGAAGCACGTCTTCGCGCAAAGAAACACGGAGCCAACAATCTCAGAGGCGTCTCGTCACCCACCACCAATACCGTATCTGCTGTCATGTACGAAAAACCTCCGCAGCTAAAGAGCACTGTCTCATCGAACACCGAGGTGATCAAAGAACTCCAAGCCAAACTAACGAAGCTGGAACCCATGCAGCAGCTGGGAAATCGTGCGACCCAACAGGGTGCATCGAAGAAGCCGTGCGTCACCGGACAAGTTAGTTCCACCTCTGCTTCACAGCAGAAGGGGGAACAATGCCCCTATCCGGGCTGCAGTTTTCGCCACTCGATCGACAAGTGAGTGCGCTCTAGAAAAGCGCGATCAACAACAGAACATTGTTCGGAGCTACCTCAAAAAAGGATGAGGGGGCCCTTCACCGGATCCCTCGCTCGCAGGGTGGCAGGTCAATAGCACAACATTAGCTGAAGGAACTCATATAGCACAAGATGCCCGAGCAGAATCAGCACCGTGTGCCCATGACAGTAGAAAATCGAGGGAACCATATTTTCCTCAGGTTGAAGGAGGTGGATTGACGTTTGTCCGAGAATTTAGCAGTAATTCTGAGACTTCGGTAGCAGATTCTGCCCAAGCATTTTTGCATCGTCAGCCAAGTAGCAAAGCAGGGAATTTCAGCGATATTTCGCTATGCACTAGCAGCAGTACGATGCTGCAGATGCCAGGAGGCTGTGTACCCTACCTCAGAGAGGTTCACACTCTGTGCGTCTTCAACCGCGAGAGACTCGGAATGGAATATATGAAGATGCTTTCATTAGTTGCTGACTCCCGAGTCAGATGTTGCTGGTACTGAAGAGGAGTAAGAGGAGTGGGCGAGCTTAGGGCTGCACCACTCTTCTCGAATACCGGACAAATAAGCCAATCACACGAAAGTTCCAGAATGCTTCCAGAATGATTTCTGGAAGCCCTCCTACGTTCTAGACGAGTATCAACTGCAACCTAGATCTAGAACGCTTTCAGAAGCTTCCAGAAGGAACCAGAAGTTTCCAGAAAGGGTTCCAGAAGCTTACAGAATGAACCAAAAGTTTCCAGAACGGCTTCCAGAAGCTACACACGTTCTACATAGATGTCCCGATCAACCTTGACCTAGCATGCTTCCGGAATATTTCTAGAACAAGAGAATACATGCCAAGGAGAGATGGATTATTTTCTACTGCTACGCAGACTAGTTGCTGCAATCGTATTCAAAGGTCAAACCGTGTCCGACTACTGGTGGTCTCGACGCACGATTTTCCTGACACGACCCCTCGATCAAGCAACTAATTCACAATGGTCGACGGCATCACCATATCCTTGTCTACCTCGACCCCTCCGTTGGCACCGTATCGAAAATAATTTCCTTCTGGTATGGAAGGGAGCTTCACAGATCTTCGATCAACACGAGAAGTCCTTAATCTGCTGAATGATGGAGGCGAATCGGTGCTTTGGGAGGTACTTGGTCGCGATATCAGCCAACTGGTGCTCGCTGGGCCGGTGGTGAAGAAGAGTGATTTGTCCCCGTAGTACTAGCTTCCGGATGAAAAAGTACCTCATGGTCACGTGCTTCGTGCGTTGAGAGTGCATGGCATTCCCAGCCACTGTCAGCGCTCCGGTGCTGTCGCTGTTGATGGGAACCGATCCGAAGGTCTTGAAGTTGAGTTCCGTCATAAAATTTGAGATGTAGACCGCCTCTCTGGCTGAGTNCCTCCAGCCAAAAAGAAGAGATCTCCCGTGGTAGATCTTCCGTGGTCGGGGTTTGCTCCGAAGGATGAATCCATAAACGCCGCTAGCCGAAACTGTCCTCTCTTGTAGACGATAGGAAGAACCGGATTGCCCCGAAGGTATCGCAGAACGTGCTTGGCTGCTGTCATGTTCACCCGCGGTGAGTTGCTGCAGGCC